TTTTTTTTTTTTGGCTTATTTATTTATTATTTACTTTTAAGTATTTCAATCCCCCTACCAGTAGCGGGAGCCTCAGCAAGGCTTGGCAAGGCTCGGTATCCCAGTAGCGAGAGGCTCGGACTTTATAGCTGGGAAAGGTACTGGTGGTTTAACCACTGCAATCATGGCACAGTTTTCGGAACTAGAACCATGCTAGTGCTGCTATCCACCCCACCCCTGCACGGTTACCGTATGAACACACCCTCCTCACACAGCATCATTTGAGACTCTCATACAGGGTCTCGCCCTTAGCAAGTAGCCACCTGGCCCGGGTATGATCCCCTAAGTAGTTCCCATGCAGAAGCATTGGGTTTTGTACCGACTTCTTGGATCGACCTTGCAAGGAGTCAAGCCGGTGGTCTTGGGCTCAGCAGTCGGACGCCTTAACCACGGCAACCGTGGCACGCTGCTCAAAAGTGGAACCACAGTTGCATTATGAACACACCCTCACCACTCAGCATCATTTGAGACCCTATTACAGGGGGTGGCCCTGAGCATGTAGCCACCTTGTCAGGGTACGATTCCCCAGTTAGTTACCACGCAGAAGCATTGGTTTTTGTACTGACTTCTTGGATCGACCCAGCAAGGAATCGAACCAGCGATCTCAGGCGCCAGGCGGCTTAACCATTGCAATCGTGACATGGTTTTGGAGAGTGGAACCATACCGGTCGTGATATCACACCCACCCTCGCAGGGTTGCAATGTGAACACACCCTTCCCGGTATGATTCCCCAGCTAGTTACCGCGTGGAAGCATTGTTTTCTGTACCAGCTTTTTGAATCGACTCTGCAAGGAATCAAACGAGTGATCTTGAGCTAAACAGCCAGACGGCTACCCCACCTTTGCACGGTTGCAGAGTGAACACCAGCCCCACACACAGCTTCATTCGAGACCCTCCTACAGGGACTGGCCCTTAGTATGTAGCCACGTGGTCTAGGTACTGTTCCCCTGCTAGTTGCCACGCAGAAGCATTGGTTTTTGCACCGCCTTCTTAGATCGACCCTGGAAGAAATTGAACCGGTGATCCCGGGCTCAACAGCCAGACGCCTTAACCACTGAAACGATGACACAGTGTCTGAAAGTGGAACCATACTGGTCCGGACATTCCCCCCACCCCTGCACGGTTATGAACAGACTCCCCCACAATCATTCAAGACCCTCCTTCATGGCCTGGCCCTTAGCACGTAGCCACCTGGTCTCGGTGTGATCCCCCGGCTAGTTTCCACGCAGAAGCATTGGTTTATGACGGCTTCTTAGATCAACCCTGCAAGGAATCGAGCCGGTGATCTTGGACTGAACAGCCAGACACCTTAACCACTGCAACCGTGACTCGGTGTTCGAACCGGTGATCGGGCTCGACAGCCTTTAGCTTCCCCAGTGGGCAGGTAGCCTAGTTCGGTAGGAAATCGGTACATATCCAGTGCTTTGGATGCTTTTTAAGATTCCATCATACAAGGTGCTCTCACAACCTCAGTGTTTACACTCGATAACGTTTTGGTAACTTTGGATCAATGCCTCCTCCCAAAGTTCCTAAGACATTGAAGAACGGAGAAGCAAGAACAGGACAGGAGGAGCGACAGAGAAGAGGCAGAGAAACAGGACTAAGACGTGCTGCAGAAAGGAGAAGGATCACAAGACCAGAGACAAGGCAATGACACTCTTACTTCCAGGGCCGCTTTGTTTGCCTATTCTTGACGTTTTCCTGTTCTTGTCCCTGTCTCCCCAACTCTTTGGTCAGGTGTCGCATTGAAGTCTTGTCATGCAATAGTAAATGAATACTGCTCTCTCCCTGCTTCTCTGTGTGTCTTCTCTCTCTCTCTCTCTCTCTCTCTCTCTCTCTCTCTCTCTCT